TTCTCCTTGTTTGTGTCAGTTTCCTTGAAACGGAAGTGATAAGTGACTCTGAGAAATGACATATTTTTATTTGTCCTTATGCATATGTGGAGAGTTGCTGAGGGGTGTGTTTGAAGCTAACTCCTTTCACCAAAATTAATTTAGATTTAGCTCTAACCAGGCCTTGTAGGGACATATACATGGACAGATACACGTAATAGCTGTGATTCTTACTTTTAGGGTCTATTGTTTAGTACTACAAATGTCATACAAATAGCAACAACCAATCCATCAGTGGGCACACCCTCAGGTTTGAGTGTGTGACGAACTTCAGCGTATGTGATAACCCCAGTGCATTACTATGAGGTTAAACTCACTTTTAGACATCTGAATGTGGATTGAGCTATGTGGCTGACTGTCTATGCACCTGTCTATCCATCTATCTTCATATTTGCTTTATACTAGGTACAAAGGACCATGAGACAGCCCTTCTCTGGGGAGGGGACTGGTGGTGGTTAACTTTTTGAGCAGTGGATAGAAATCCATGTAAGGAAAGCAGTAATCCCTTCTGGTTTTGTGGTTGATTGGGATGTTCACCTTGTTACTAGAAGGGAATTAATGGTTTCATATAAAAACAAAAGGAATGTGGGGCTCATGGGGCCAATCCAGCACAGCTGTAGTCCATTAAAAAGATAAAAGATAGAGCTTTTTATCTTCCTCATTAATTTGTTCAGTTAATTATTTAATGTAAAACTAATTATTGCATTTTTTTTGAGCAACAGTGAGTTTTTCCTCCCACTCATCAGTTTATAGAGATCTGGAATAAGTTAGATTCCAGCATGGCGGATAATGGTTCATGTGTATGTGTGCTGTATGATGGCAGGGTCATGCCTGGTTTTGTTGCATCTTAACCATTTTAGCAAGGTAAATAAAAGATGATCAAGTCTTAATGAGCCTAAGGTATGGGACTGACAGCAGGAGGTACTACAGTCTGCAGAACAGTCTGTTACAGGAAGGAAATGGATTTCTCGGTAAAAGTGAATAATGGAGACCTGTTAGGATAGTTTAAGGTCTTGTTTTCTTTCTTTCTTGCCTCTCGTGGGCAAGACATGTGTTCTTCTATCGGGTGACCTCTCCAGCTCTGGGAATTTTGTGAGTTTGGTATTTGTGTTTTAATTTGGGTATCACAAGATGTACGTCACATGGACAAATATATAAATGAAAGATGATAAAAAACGTATAAGGGCCCTGGGGGGCATTTTCTGGGTGTGAACCAGGGATTATGACTACTCCAAATTGGGTAGCATCCATTCCCTGTACGGGTTGAGGGTCTGTGATCTACTGATGCTACAGGAAATGACGTGCAAGCAGATCTCACAGCCGTGATGCAGCGGCTCTGGGTAGTGCTACTCTCGTATCTCAATACTAATGTGTAAATGTGAGTCCATTTTCCCAGCCTATGAATAAAAGAAGAAATGCATCTATTTTAGAGCACATAGAAAAATGATAGTAATAATAAAAAACAATTCTGGGACACTGACAACAATGCAAAATAGATGCAGCATGCTGTCCCTCTGAATGAGCAGTTGGTAGACAGATAGGTCTAGTGCTTGTTCCTGTGATAGTGATATATAAGATATGTGTTAGATAAACCAAAGAAGAACCTAAGGGTTAAACAAAAATATAACCTAGACAAATAAGCAATTAGAAGAATGGTTTTGGACAAGCAACAAAAAGATTTACGATCTGCCTGTTTTGTTTTGTTTTTTCTTTTTTCTCTTTTCTTTTTTTGAGACTGGGTCAGACTTAATTATGAGGCCAGGCTAACTGTGAACTCATTCAGCCTCAGTCTTTGCAGCGTTGAGGTTACAGACTTAGACATACTTGTTATTTTCATATTTTTTCATTGCTGTTCAATTATGGTTCATTTTACTTTACAACTACGACGTGATTTAGTTCTCGAGGAAGTAGATATGCAAATAGATATGCAGATGTTCACAAACTTTCATATATCTCAGCAGGGCTTCCCACAGTCCACGGATGAGTCTGCTAATTTAGATTTACTTATTATTTAAAAGATAGACATAAATTGTCACGTGCATGAGAAAGGCACATGGATAATACCATTTGCAGTAAATATTCTTTTCCTTGTCTTCACTGATGGAGTTCATTGTACTTGTTATACAAGGAAAAATGAACATTCATGAGCCAATCAGAAGATAGCAATTAAAATCTGTTCAAATATCAGGGGTTTCAGTACTCCAGTAAAGCATGACACCTTTAAAAAAAACACAGGTTCAGCTTTCCTACAAGCTGTTGTACATCACAGAATGGATCCATGGTATTAATGACCACAGAAGTGGGTATAGAGTGTGTAGCCTGAGGTTAGAAATTGTCTAAGTTCTTACATGTAATAGCAAGCTATTTATAATGAATCCTAATTTTGTTATTGTAAATTGACCAATTAAAGAGCCAACTTATAATTATGCAACTAATTGAAAGTTGATGAGATGTAGTGCACTTTATAAATACGTGTGGTGAGACAGGAAATACTATGCATCTAAATCAAAGATTAAATTTTTAGCACAGACAGATCAGTTGTGTCACCTCTTTGTCTAAGATTCAGACCGACAATAAATACTAGTAAGTAGTATTAATCTGAGTTTATTCAAGTTTGACATCATTAATTTTGTTAGGGGAAAATATGTGGATATTACCACAGATTAGTAAATACCTAAAATGGTAGGTTTTATAAAAGGCGAATGAAGAGAACTGATTAAGTGTGTGATCGTCTGCTCTGCTCTGTACTTGTCAGAATGCGTGGTCCCATCCCATGGTGTCAAAGATGGCAGGCTGGGGCAGCCTCTGGTGCTGCAGGTGTAAGTTTGTCAACATCTGTGTTAATTGCAAATTGTACTTGCTTACGGTTTGACCTTGAACTCCATTCTTGACTCTGTGTTAGTATGAAGCTTCTTGTAATACTCTATTTTTTTTTATTTTTGCCTTGGCTTGTTTACGGAGATTCTTGGCACTATGCAATGTGAAATATGTAATCCACTAATGACATTCATGGTTGTGGAGATTGAAGCTATTCTTAGGACATCCCATTTTGCGGGTATTGCTCTCAGTGAGTCAAGTGAGTTATGTGAGTAACATACAGAAGCGACTGGAGAAGAAGAGGGCGCACCTCGGATGAGCGACGATACTGGTGGTGTCCCAGTCACAGTGGTGGCTGCGGCTAGGGAAGTCTGAGGGCTGCACAGCAGGACACCTGTGTTCCTGGGGCAGGACGTGAGGGACAGTGAGTCCTACCTTGTCTTCGTGCTCATCCATTTCCATTCTCTTTTTATAATTGGACCAGTGAAAGAATCACTACCCAATTATGTACATAAATGAGGAGGAAGTGCATGAATCATTTACCAATTATGAAAATATTTAATGGGATACTATTAATATATACAACACACCGAAGTCCATTAAGAAATAACTGGCTTAAAGGTGTTATATCTTTGGCTGGAGATGGCATTAAATTATTAGCTTTTGTCCTTGTTAGAGTCAGTGTGACATGGCCAATATCTGATATCTAATTAAAAATTCTTATAACAATTTAACTCTTAATAACTAATAAATGAAAGGAGAAATGAAAAAAATGTAATTGGATACATACCACTATTTTTACAATCTCTTATGTTCTGTACTTCCAGGAGGGATGTTCCAAAGCTGAAGCACGCTCTCGGCCCTGGCCACCAGTTCTAAGGCTGCCCTATGAGTTAGAAGAATAGAGACCAAAGTGAGTAGAGTGGAAGCTCTTGTCTTGGTTGTGGGTACTTTCTAAAGGATATATTCACTGTATTGGTACAGGCATCATGTTTAATTCAAGGAGGCCAGCTATTATACAGTGAGAAATACAGCATGGCCATTAAATACTGTGTGAATTAATAATAGTTGTTAGGAGTAAGAAATGAAAGAGATAAGCAGAGTGTGATTTACAAAAAACATCCAGGAGAGAGCTAAAAGTACATTTGAGAATCTTGTTCTCAGGCATTTATGATTGAGAGCTGTCTACATATTATTGGTGATCAGGATTAATGAATCAATAAGCAAATGTAGAAGTTAGCGGGAAAGAGCAGGGCCAGTGTTGGACCAATGATGACTACTGGAGGTATATGAATCATGGATCCGTGACTACAGGTCTGGAAGTCTGAGGTCCACACTATTCTGTATTGGCAGGGTACATGCCATCCTAGGGAAAGAAAAAGGAACAGCCAGGCATATTATCATGGGCTCTGTCTTTACACACTTTAATTGCATTTTTACGCTTACATAAGCATACAGATAAAATTGTGGAAGCATTCTCTTACTCTGAGAATAAATACCAGAGCAAGAAACACTAATAACCTGTAGATAAAACATGTAAGTCCAATAGGACTGAATGGATCATGACTGCTATCTCTTTGACTAAAGATGCTGTACACTGTAAAAAAAAATTTTAATGGGCAAAATGCTCCTTAGTTTCAAAGCATTGTGTAATGGTTGTTTTATAAGAAGAAAACATCACAATTTAAAGCATCCTTAAGCAAGTGACAAAAAGGAATAATGAGGGATAGATGGACAGAAACTCAAAGTTTTTATGTTCTGCTTTGAACTTGCAGAATGGATGCTCCAGGATGGATTGAAGATTTCTTCCCTGGTCCCAGGCTTTGTGATGCCTGTTTCCTCGTCAAAGGATGGAAGTCCAGTGGTGAGTGATGGAGAAGGCTTTGGTCTTTGAATGTTTTTAAAAAGATGTCCTCAGTATTGGTAAATACAGAATGCAAGGACCTGGCTCTGACTGTCTATGAGAAGACAATGAAACACGTCTATTGATGGGTACTCTGTGGGAAAGATCCCATTCAGAACTCCAAATTAAAGCTGAGGATCTGGAACTATCTGTGCTTTAGAGTTATCTGCATGTTTACTGCTGAAATGAAGAATAAGTCAATCAGAACCAGTTCACATCAATGTCACAGGCTGGCCCATAAAGGATCAACGATGAGCACTGGAGGTGTCTGTGTGTTGGACAGTGACTACAGCTTTCAAGTCTGAGATCCACCGCAGAAAACATATGGCGGAGTTAGTCTGATTAGGCAATGAGTGTTGGCGACGGGAATTTAATGATGTTTATCTTGACCCATTTTTCTTTGCATTTTTATAATTGGATCAATTAAAAAGTCATTATACAAATATAAATAATGTCAGATGAGATGACACTGCCCTGAAGCACTAAGTTGCTTAATTAATATTAGCAAAATGGAGACAGCCCCAAGTTAAAGAGGTGATCACTGTGGAGAGAAAGCATGGATAATGATAATAATCTCAAATTAATCGTAATTACCTGTTCCCCTTAAAAAAATGGAACTCTACCTAGTGGAATGAAGAATGACTCCCTAAATTCATGTGGAATTTAGCAGAGAAGAGAAGGGCTTGATTTGGACCCATGGGGGCCATGGGTGGTATGTGAGGAACCAGTGATGATAATTCTGGAGGTCTGAGGTGTCTAGCACAAGGTATCCAGTGGATACTTTCTAAGGTTGATGTTAGGAATGATCCAGGATCTTCTGGTCCTTGGGGTTCATGAATCTTCATTCTGTTTTCCTAATGGAATCAAGGATTGAGTTGTTACCCAAACAGATCATTATATTAGGATAAGGTAACTGTACATGTTCCAATTATGAAAATAGTGGAATCCTACTGATAATACCCAAAAGGCAGGAGTTTATGGAGAAGTCAGTACACTGAGATTTAACCACTTGTCCAGAGGAATTTGAGAGACTATGTTGCTTGATTTTTCTAGAAAACCTACCAAGAGGGTCTGCCTTCTTGAGTTACTCATGAAGGAAGTGTTTCAAGTGTACATGGACAGCCTCTGGATCATGTCATGATATCTTTTGCTTTGTTCTCAGAATTCATGGCCCACCGCAGCTGATTTGTGGTCTGTCACCAGTGAAATCTGTGTCAGGAGCTGAAAGACCACTGTGAGTAGAGTCACAGCTCTTGTCTTGGTATGGGTGGCTTCAGAAGGATGGTTCTTATCCTGACAAAGCAATGTAGGGCTTAGTGACAAATTTGCATAGCCATAAAGCCTCGTTATTAATCAACATGTGTAAAATAATGATTGACTCTGGACAGAGATCTAAACAGAATTGTAGGACAGCCTGTCTGAAGCTCTAACTGATCCTCAGGGATCTTGCAATCATTATTTAATATTCTTATTCAAATGAAGAGCCAATCAGGAAACAGCTGTGGAAGTGGAGGAGGAAGAGGAGGTCCAGTGTGGGATCTGTGATGACCACTGGAGGTGTATGAGTCCTGGATCCATGACTACAGGCCTGGAAATCTGAGGTCCACACTGGAAGCTTGGAGAAGCCTACCCCTGTGCTAGGGATAGAGTGTGGTCATAAGTGGGGCTCTTCTTGGACTTGCATTTCCATTCATGAATGTCCATTCTGTTTGGACAATCTACTCAATGACATGACAGTGCTACAAATGGGAACGTGAATAGAAATCCATTAGGTGATCCTGATTGCATTATGACCATCACCCTGATACACCAAGTCCTCTGAGTCTATATGGTCACCCATAGTCCATGAAGAACAAGTGTCTTAGAAGAGTTCCCTCCATGGCCCAAGAGGGCAATGGGGTCCAACTCAAGGCCCAAGTCATTGCTAGGACTGGCCCTGAGTTGTTCAGTGTTACCTGCTCTTCAGGGACCAGATGTCACCCGATAGAATTCCTCATGAAATGTCTAGAGAAAAGAGGAATGGGGGAGACCATGGGCAAGAGCAGCATTCCAATGTTTTCCGATGTGTTCTGCTTTGTCTTGTCAGAATGGATGCTTCTCAGTGGACTTAGACCTTCTTCCCTGGTCCTGAAGTTGGTCGTTGCTCTGACGCAACAATGTGAGTAGAGTCCAAGTTCTTGGCTTGGCTTTGGAGTTTTGGGAAAAGCATTCAATCAGATACAATGAGAGCAATTATAACTCCATGATAGGTAGAGGCATCATGTACATTAATTAATAGTTGCAATTCTAATTAACCATGGGAAGAAATAGAACTGGCGATTCCAAAGATCCTCTATGTAACTGTGAAGTTAAATGAAGGATCTTACCCTTAGCCTTGAGATCTCATCAGATCTCTTCAGACTCAGATCTCATCAGAGCAATGAACAGTTGGTCAATAAATAAATAAATGTAGGAATGAATGGAGAGCAGGGATTGCAGAGGGGGAGTGGACCCAGGGATGACCCTGGAGGTGTAGGAATCAGGGATGGGTGATTACAGGTCTCACAGACTGAAGTCCGGATCAGAAGCCTGTAGGGGTCAAACAACTGTCCTAGAGCCAGAGATGATCTTGGTCTTTGCATGCCAGACATTGAATTTTACATTTAATTGAATTCATGAAATCACCCTTTCTCATTGTGTAAGTAAAGGAATAAAATATGTAGAACATCGTCCAATTATGAAGTTAGTGGCCACGTGGCCAAGATGGCTGATATAGTGAAAATAACAACCTCACTCTCTTGAGTGTTGGGCTCTTGTGTAAAGCTGTCTATTTTCTCAGGCAAGCAAAGTCACCATTTTTATTAGAGTAGGAGTGAGGTGAACGGATACTTGAGAGATCACACATTTGTGATTGTGCTTTGTGCTATCTGAGTGATGCTTCCTGACTGATTTCTGGTGGATGGATGCTCTCATGCATTTTGGAGTCTAGAGATATAAGTGTGAGTATAGTCAGATTCATAATCTTAATAAAGGTTGTGTTTAAAGAAGGATCCATGTATTGATAAAGACATTATATCTAATGCAAGGATGCCTACTAGGGGTGTAACAGAAACCTGGCGTTGCCATGAAGCCCAAGGAGTCTGAGGAAGCAGATGACCCCAACGTAAAGAGGTGATCACTATTTCAAGATGGCCATAGTAACGATCCCAACTAATCTCCAATGTCCTTCATAAGAAGTGAATTATTCTTATTGAAATGCAGATAGACTTCCTAAATACATGTGGAAATTAGCAAGGGGAAGGAGGGCGTAAATTGTATCAGTGATTAGCTCAGGCGAACTGCGAGTCCTGGTGATGATTCCAGCTCTGCAGGTCTGCATTGCCCACAAGATGTCTAGTGGATACCGTCTCAGGTATTAGGAAAGATCAACGATGTTATGGTCCTTGGTGTTCATGAATCTGCATTTTTTTTTTTTTTGGGTCTGGTCGTGGGGCCTGAACTCTGGGCCTGGGCGCTGTCCCTCAGTTCTTTAGCTCAAGGCTAACACTCTACCACTTGAGCTACAGCGCCACTTCCAGTTTTTTTCTTTTTGTTTATGTGGTGCTGAGGAATCGAACCCAGGGACTCAGGCATGCAAGGCAAGCACTCTACCACTGAGCCACTTTCCCAGCCCTTTTTTTTATTTTGTAGGTTGTGGGGCCTGAACTCTGGGCCTGGGGGGGCTGTCCTTCAGCTTGTCAGCTCAAGGCTAGTGCTCAACCATTTGAGCTACAGCGCCACTTCTGGTTCTCTGGTGGTTTACTGGAGATAAGAGTTTCGCGGACTTTCTTGCCTGGGCTGTCTTTGAACTGCGATCCTCAAATCTCAGCCTCCTGAGTAGCCAGGATTATAGGCGTGAGCCACCAGTGCCTGGCTTCATTCTTTTTCCATAATGGAATTAATGATTACTCAGATATATCTAAATGTGTTCTATACATTGGGTACACATTGTGAATTTATGAAAATAGTGGAATGCTATTGACATATACCTAAAGATAGATGTCTATTGAGAAGTAGATACCTCGAAGAGTCCACTTGGTCTCCAAGATTGATTTATACACTCTAAAGATATGAAATTACTATTTTTGAAGCTTAGGATAGGTTTCATGTTGCTTGATCTGCTTGAAAATATATCATGAAAGTTTTTCTTCTTGAGTGACTAATAAAGTAAATGTTTCAGGTCCACATTAACAGCCTCTGAAATTTCTCATGACATCTTTTGCTTTGTACTCAGAAATTGTGTGCCCAGCACAGCCAATATGGCATTTCTGGCCTGTCCCCAGTGATGTCTGCATTAGAAGCTACTAGATCACCGTGAGTAGAGTCAGTGTGCCTCTCTAGGTGTGGGTGGCTTGGGAAGAATTGTTCTTGTCTTGACAAAGCAAAGTAGAGCTTAGTCACAAACTTGGTGTGGCCATGAGCCTGATTAGTTAATCACATTTGCAAAATTAAGATTGACCCAGGAAGGAGAGCCTATCAGAATGGCAGGACAGCCTATCTGAAGCTCTAACTGATCCTCAGGGATCTCACTCTTTCCTGTGAGCAATCATTATTTAATATTCTTATTCAAATGAAGAGCCAGTCAGGAAACAGCCATAGAAGTGGAGGAGGAAGGAGGAAGTCCAGTGTGGGATCTGTGATGACCACTGGAGGTGTATGAGTCCTGGATCCATGACTACAGGCCTGGAAATCTGAGGTCCACACTGGAAGCTTGGAGAAGCCTACCCCTGTGCTAGGGATAGAGTGTGGTCATAAGTGGGGCTCTTCTTGGACTTGCATTTCCATTCATGAATGTCCATTCTGTTTGGACAATCTACTCAATGACATGACAGTGCTACAAATGGGAACGTGAATGGAAAGGAATTACTTGCGTGTAGTCTCATTATGAAAAACAACAGAGACACGAAATTATATATAAATATAAATATATATGTATATAAATAGACATCACTGGAGTCCATGATCAAAGAAATGCCTCAGAAGTGTTCCCTCCGTGGCCCCAGAGGGCAATGGGGTCCAACTCAAGGCCCAAGTCATTGCTAGGACTGGCCCTGAGTTGTTCAGTGTTACCTGCTCTTCAGGGACCAGATGGAATTCCTCATGAAATGTCTAGAGAAAAGAGGAATGGGGGAGACCATGGGCAAGAGCAGCATTCCAATGTTTTCCGATGTGTTCTGCTTTGTCTTGTCAGAATGGATGCTACTCAGTGGACTTAGACCTTCTTCCCTGGTCCTGAAGTTGGTGGTTGCTCTGATGTGTTACCAGCCTATGTACCAGTGTGAGTAGAGTCCGAGTTCTCATTTTGGTTTGGGAATTCTTAAAAGGCTAATCACTGCATTGGGAAAATCATTACATAGGGACGAAGGGAGCACTTATGGGCCCATGAGTTATTTGGCATGACCCTGACATGCCATAGTCATTCCTCAGTATTTTTGAGTCTAATTGACCAAGAAAAGAAATAGATTCAGTGTTTCCAAGGATCCCTTGTATAACTATGAATTTGAATGAAGGATCTTACCATTATCCTTGAGATCCATAACTATTGAAATCTTATTAGAGCAGTGAACAATTAGTCAGTACCTAAAGGTGGGAATGAGTGGAGCAGGGAGGGGAAGCTGGGCCAGTGATGACCGCTGGAGGTGTATGAATCATGGATCAGTGACTACAGGCCTCAAAATCTGAGGTCCACAGGAGAAACATGCAGAGACCAAACTTCTGTTCCTAGGGCAGAAGAACGCAACACTGTAGGATGTTTTTGGTCTTCCTGCTCCTGAAATCAAATTTTACTTTTATAATTGGATCAATGACATTTTCCTTTTACACTGGCATAAAGAAAGGAAGAAAACATGGGTGAGCATTGTCCAATTATGAAATTAATGACTGCTTTGCCCAAGGTGGCTGAGTCTCCTGAGTGTTGAGCTTCTATGCTCACGAAACAAGTCCCCATTTTTATTGTATTAGGAATGAAGTAAAATCTTTGAGAGATCAGACATAATTTTGTGTATTTTTGTGTTTTGTGCTCTCAGAATGGATGCTTCCTGTTCAATGTTGGGTTGATGGGTGTCCTAATATGAGATCCACGTGTGAGTATGACCAAATTTGTTACCTTCATCAAGTGCGTGTTTAAAATCGGGTCCCAATATTGATAAAGGTGTTTATCTAATCCAAACTTGTGTACTAGAGGTAAAAGAGAAGCACATAATATCATATACTAGCAAGATGCAAATAGCTGCGAGGTAAATAATTGATTGCTGTTGTGAGATAGGTATTGTAGAGCTCCAAATTAATCTCCAATGAATCTTAACTCTCAGTTCTTCATAGCAATTGAATTATTCTTGGTGAAATGAGACTTAGGATGACTGCCTGAGGACATGTGGAAATGAGCAGGGGGACAGGGCCTGACTTGGATCAGTGACAGCCACAGGGAGGTTGTGAATTAAGTAAGAATGGTGACCCTTGGTTCCAGAAGTTTGAGGTGCCCACTACAAAGTAGGTGGCTAATGCCTCTGGTGGTAGGGCAGATGTTAGTAAGGATCAAGCAGGTAACAGTTCTAAATGTTCTTGGATCTTCATTCATTATTCATAATGGGATTAGTGAATACAGTGTTACCCAAACATGGGACTACATTAGGATAAGTTGAGTGTAAAGTCCCCAATTATAAAAAGAGTGGAGTCCTGTTGACAAAGACCTAAAAGATGAAAATGTTTTGAGATGTCAATAGCTCCAATCCATGATTGGCTTTCTAAGATGAATATACACAATTTGTAGGAATGACATTATTGTTTGTGAGGTTCGAGACAGAGTCCATGTTGCTTGATTTCTCTAGAAAATATACCACCAGGAATTTAATCCTGAACAACTAATGAAGAAATGGATTCCAATATACATGGACAGCCTCTGAATCTTCTCATGATGTTTTTTTGCTTTGTACTCAGAACTGATGGTCCCTATCCCAGCTGATTTTAGCATTTTTGGCCAAGAGATCTGTGTCAGGAGCTGAGATACCACTGTGAGTAGAGTCACAGCTCTTGTCTTGGTGTGGGTGGCTTGGGAAGGATGGTTCTTGTCCTGAAAAAGCCAGTGTGGCAGAGTGGCAAACTTTCATGGCCATAAAGCACTGTTGATTAATCAACAGGAAAGAGATCCAATCAGAATGGCAGGACAGCCTATCTGAATCTTAACTGATCCTCAGGGATCTCGCTCTTTCCTGTGAGCAATCATTATTTAATATTCTTATTCAAATGAAGAGCCAGTCAGGAAACAGCCATAGAAGAGGAAGAGGAAGAGGAAGTCCAGTGTGGGATCTGTGATGACCACTGGAGGTGTATGAGTCCTGGATCCATGACTACAGGCCTGGAAATCTGAGGTCCACACTGGAAGCTTGGAGAAGCCTACCCCTGTGCTAGGGATAGAGTGTGGTCATAAGTGGGGCTCTTCTTGGACTTGCATTTCCATTCATGAATGTCCATTCTGTTTGGACAATCTACTCAATGACATGACAGTGCTACAAATGGGAACGTGAATGGAAAAGAATTACTTGCGTGTAGTCTCATTATGAAAAACAACAGAGACACGAAATTATATATAAATATAAATATATATGTATATAAATAGACATCACTGGAGTCCATGATCAAAGAAATGCCTCAGAAGTGTTCCCTCCGTGGCCCCAGAGGGCAATGGGGTCCAACTCAAGGCCCAAGTCATTGCTAGGACTGGCCCTGAGTTGTTCAGTGTTACCTGCTCTTCAGGGACCAGATGGAATTCCTCATGAAATGTCTAGAGAAAAGAGGAATGGGGGAGACCATGGGCAAGAGCAGCATTCCAATGTTTTCCGATGTGTTCTGCTTTGTCTTGTCAGAATGGATGCTTCTCAGTGAACTTAGACCTTCTTCCCTGGTCCTGAAGTTGGTGGTTGCTCTGATGTGTTACCAGCCTAGGCACCAGTGTGAGTAGACCGCATGTTCTTTTCTTGGTTTGGGAGTTTTCTATGGCTGTTTGTCACATTGAGTAAGCATTCCATAGGGCCCAAGGAGTCCAAATATGGTTCTATGAGATGTATGGCAGACCACTGGTTACCATATCCACTAATCAATACTTGTGAGTCCAGGTGATCAAGAAAAATGCTAGAATTAGGTTTGAAGAACATCTCTGATGGTCTTTTATGATCTGTTAAGATCTTGCATGATCTTGACCTTATCCATATTCACTGTAATTTCATTAGGTATAGTAATAATATTCTTGAAAATTAATTCAATGAATAAGACCATAAACAGTAATAAATATACATTTTTCAAACTGTATACAGATAGCGTCATTGTATATCTGAGCCAGAGTAAAGAGAATGCAGTCACTTCTAGGACTGTTTTGAAAAGTTCAGTTTTTGACAATATGGTGCTCCCATAGTTTTGCTTGAGGCAATCATTACTCTCACTATTGGTTAGCATATTTGAAGCAATGCAAATAAATTCTCATCCTGTTTTTTACTTTTTTTATTCAGGAGGCTGAGATCTAAGAAGTCTACTTCAAAAATAGCCCGGGCCCACGGACTGGAAAGTGTCTTATCTACAAGTATCTGGAAAAAAACTGAAAGTAGCAATGTGCCACATTTAGTGACAAGCATAGGAAGAGAGGGAAGCAGTGAATTTTAGCTGTGGTATGAGCATGTGCGTGTGCGCGCGTGCACACACAAGTGTATCTTCTTTATATTTACAAGTCATTTCCTATTTAGAATGTGCCTCTGTGTCCATAGTGAAAGTCACTCTTGTTGAATTGCAGTGGTTTATTTATGATACTGACTGTAATATATTGCAAGTTTCCAAAAAGAGCCATTTATTAAACAGTGATAAAATGTGGTGGACATGAAACATTATGTTTTTTAGATTATGTTTACCACACTGAAAATTATTAAGGAAAAAAGCATAAAATGCAACAACTCATTCTGTAATAGACAGATGTCAGGCTTAATGTGCTGATATTGTTCTCAAATGAGTTGTTTGCTGTGTTTTTCAGTCACAGGTCTTCATTTTATTATTAGTTTGATGGTTTGTCAACCAATCTAGATGCGTAGAAATAAGCTGTGCATGGTGGTACTTGCTTGTAGCTTCATCCTCTTTTGATGCTGTGCCAGAAAGATAAGTCCAAGGGTTCAAGAACCATATTGGGCCATATAGCTTAGGAATGCTACAAAATCAACTTGTAGAATTGAGTGAAGGAAAAAGAAGGCCAAGGCTGGACAAAGGATGGTGATTGTTGGCAGGGAAATTGTGAATGATGTGCATGTTCCCAAAATGCTAGAGATAAACCTACTTGGACCTCTAGTGTTTTTACTATGATAGAAATGGCCCAATCATGACTGGGAATGTGGCTTAGTGGTAGAGTACTTGCCTTGCATGCAGAAAGCCCTGGCTTCAGTTCCTTAGTACCTCATAAACAGAAAAAGCTGGAAGTGGCACTTTGGCTCAAGTGGTAAAATGTACTTAATACTCAGGCCCTGAGTTCAAGCCCCAGGACTGGGGGAAAAAAACAGAAATGGCCTAAGGATCACATATTAGGGCTATAAATGGACCTTTTCCCATTTATTTTGTATTTGAAGATTTGATAGTGTTAGCATAAATAGGTATGTGATGGAACTATTCAATAAGTATATAAATCACTATGAATGATTTGATATACTATAGAGTAAAACATTCAATTATCAATATATATGGCTGTGTAAGAAATATCATTTAATATAAATTGAAAACTCAGGTTAAGAAATTGGTTGATCAGAGTGCTAATTCATTAATGCTTATATCATGATACTGTTTTTAGTTCTAGGTTAGTCCAAGTTGTGTTTACATTTTTTGCCCAGAAAAAAATATGTCTGAAAAATAAGTAAGAGCTAAGTGATAGAGTAAATTCAGTATTTAAATTACATGTAGTGGGAATGAGGCCCTAATTTTTTTAAAAAAATCAACTGCTATGCTTTGTATCCTGCAGAATGGACACCGGGAGCTGAGCTGGTCAGAGATTCATGGTTTGCTCTATGCTTGGAGTTTGGTCTGTGGAAGTAATGTGAATTGTTATGCATCTGTATTCTGTAGTTCAAACCTATAACATAGGATCATAGGAAAATATGAGAAATATAGAATTGATCTGTAGCATTTTATTGATCAATCCACATATGAAACTTGGAGAATAATTAATTAATAGAAGAACCACATTGTAACAAATTATTCAAGTCTTATTTCCTAGGCTCTTAACTCAGATAGTTGATTAAATTATTTCCTACACATGGGTAGGTTAAGAATGCAAATGAAACAGATCCTCAACCAACAAGGGTCATGGGAGGCGGGGTATGTCTGCAATTGTGAAATATAAATTACATATCACTTCAGTTCCTTGCCTGTCTTATATGATCGTATTTATAGACCTGGAGCTATACAAGTGTGCTGGTGACAAGCAGTTTTGATTCTTTTACAATAAATGGATAAATGGTTTGATTTTGTTATGTATAAGAGAAAGTTTACCTCATATTAATATTCACATAACTTGAATGAAATTAGCACAGGCCTTACCCTCGCTCTCATCTCCTTTTAACTTTACAGAAAGAACATGCTTGATTGAATGTAATCATTCTGCCATGCCTGTGGCGTCCGTGGCTGCCTCTGCGTGTGGGAACGTTTACCCTCCGACGGTCTTGTCTT